GGGGGTCCGAGCCAGCGCCGGCGTCTTTGTAGGGACGGAGTCCCGGGGCGTGACAGGCCAGTGTGACAGGCCACCGAGATGCGGTGCCCCAAAGGACAGCTTCACTCTTAAAGCAAAATCTCTCCCCGGCCTCAGGGCGCGAGTCTGCACCCTGGCGTCCCGCGGGCGGGGCCAGGTCTGCCTCTCCGCTTGGCCAACTGCGCTGGGCGCCCCTGCGACACCGGGGGCGGGCCGGGCTGGTGGCAGGCGCGTGTGGTTACGAAATGACTCGATTTCCCGTGTGGACACAGCCCCAGGGGCCGCGCTCGGAGAGGCACAGCCACGTGGGGCGCTCGGCCTTGCAACCCGGGGAAGGGTCCATTTGAATGTCGCCTGGGGTCACCTTTCTGCTTCCTGATAAAGTGACTTTCCGTATTTTCGAGCCCTTTGCGAGTGACTGGAGAGGGTGGTGCAAGGAACTGGCCCTGGGAGGGCGCTGCGGGGCAAGGTCCCCTTTGCAAGGGGCAGTCCCTGGCGGGGGCCCAGGTGCAGCCTGCCCGCCGGTGCTGGCCCGTGCAAGTTTTGCTTTGCGACAGCCGCGTCACCTGCGCGGGAATGCGCTCAGCGGAGCCGCAGCCTTGGACGCAGAACTGGATTTCAGCTCAGTTGAGCTCAGCGAGGCTGCTGCCTGCCCGACACGGCCTCGGGGGACTTGGGCAGCTGCCATTGGGGCCACTGTGGGTCCCACCTGTGGATTTAAAAAAAAAAAAAGTGGTCCAAAAGCTCTCGGTGGACAGGAACCGGTGTCCCCGGTGCATGTGCACCTTGATTGACAGTTTTTGCATTCTCCAAGTGTCGTCCTTCCCCTGCGGTCGCCTGGGCCATAATTGGAGCTGGCAGTGCACGCCGGGCCTTGCCCTCTCTGCCTGAGGCCTCCATGTTCTGTCCGCGCTCAAAAATGTCACTTTGTTTCATTTTGTGCCGTGGATCCAGCTTCTGATTCGTTCTGAACGTGCAAAGCTTGACCTTTACACCCTGGCCTTTGCAGGAGGGTTGCAAACAAGCCGGACTCTCAGAGTCTTTTTTTTTTTTTTTTAATAAAGGGGCTGGATCCAGCTTGGGTTGTGCCCCTCGGTGTGGCTGGAGGGCACAGCGACCTGAGGGCGGGGAAAGTCCACCCTGGAGTCTGACTGCCAGCCTGATTCAACTGCCTTCTGCAAAAACAGACTAATTGCCAAGGAATGGCATTCCTGAGCTGGGAGGGGTTGGCGGGGCAAGTTAGGGTCTGTCCCCCACCTCCCGGAGGCCACATTTAAATGGCCCACACTCTAAGGAAGGCCTGGCCTGTCAATCACATCGCAAGAGGCGGGAGGTGAAGGATTGCATTTCGTAGCTCAAAGTGCACCGGGGTGCAGAGGTGTGGGGTGCAGGCCTGTCAATCACCGAACGTGACCCTGAGGGAAACAAAGTTCACACACCGGAAGCCAGGGCCTCAGGTTTGCAAAGCTCACGCTGTACCAGGGAGCGACCCCTGCAGACGTGTATTTTATTTTTCATGCACAGACAAAAAAAAAATATATATATAAATATTTGCAGGATACAGTGCTTATTAGTTTGAATTTTTTGGTGCTGGGGTTTGACCTCAGGGGTGTGAACCCCTTGAGCCACATCCCCAGACCTTTTTATTTATTGATTGATTTAATTTAGAGACAGAGTCTCGCTAAGTTGCTTAGGGCCTTGCTAAGTGCCTGAGGCTGGCCTCCAACTTGCCGTCCTCCTGCCCCAGCCTCCCGAGCCCCTGTGTCTTTCCCCTCCCTCCTTCTCTCCCTCCCTTTCTTCCTTTCCCATGTGATGGACACCAGAGCTTCCAGGGATATCTTTTTGTACCCTTCCCTCTTTTGCCTGTAGGCGATATTTATTGCTTTTCAAGGTCACTGCGTCTCTGAGGAAATACTGTGGCTTTGCTTGAGTCTGGGGGACAATAGCTGGACAATACAGCCCCTTGGCTCACCCATGTGCAATTAGAAAAGGCAAGACCCAGAGGGCTGCCTGGGCAGCGGCTCAGGGACCCCGAGACCAGCCTGGGAGCGCCTGGAGCCAACTGTACCTGCAGCTGGGAGCCCGCTCCACCCAGCTGCAGGGAAGGGGCTCCCGGGTCCCTGTGGCTGCGGGTTCTGGGGAACTGACAGGCGGCACCTGCAGGCGGGGGTCCTTGGAAGCTGGGTCGAGGCCAGGTCCTATCTGTAACTGTGACACTTGCTGATAAGACATTCTCCCGCTGCCAGCGCCTGTCAATCAGACAGGAGCAATAATGATAGGAATGACCACAGTCCAATCCCACGCTGCCCAGCAGGCCTCAGGACCCTGTTCAGAATAATCATCTTCACGCTGAAAATGATGGTGTATAAGCCGCGCGCCGCGGCACACGCCTATCATCCTAGCAGCAGCGGAGGCTGAGGCAGGAGGATGGCGAGTTCAAAGCCAGCCTCTGCCAAAGGGAGGCCAAAGCAACTCAGGGAGACCCTGTCTCTCAATAAAATGCAAAATAGGGCTGGGGACGGGGCTCAGGGGTCGAGGGTCCCTGAAGTCAATCCCCAATACCCCCAAAACAAACAGAGAAACTCAAAATGACTATAAAATGCTCCTCTAGTACCAGGGCCTCTTTTGAACAAAAAAAATAATAAAAATAGCAGTAAAAATTAATAATAATGATAATAAACTTTCTGAGGATCTCTTTCAGCCTAATAATTAATAATAATAATTGAATATGGAACTTTTCTCCAGCCACCAAAACCTCTTTTAGCCAAATATTAGCATCCGTAATAATAAATAATAATAATCGAAAGTTTTTTCCCCTTTGGGTGCCCAAACCTTTCAGCCTGATTAATAAAAGGGATAATAATGATAATAATAATAAATGATCAATAATGACAACATGTAGGAAACTTTCCTCCAAGTTCAGGACTTAAATAAGAGCCGTAACAACAATAAAAGTAAGAATGATCCAATGCTAAAACTTCCCTCCGGGTACCAGGCCTTCTTATTTCCAAAGAATAACAAAAATAATAAATTTTTTTTGGGGGGTATCAGGGATGGAACCCAAGGGTGCTTCACCCCGGAACCCCTGCCCCCAGCCCTTTTTTATATTTTATTTAGAGACAGGGGTCTCCCCGAGTTGCTTCACGCCTTGCTAAGTTGTGGAGGCTGGCCTCCGACTCGCGATCCTCCAGGCCTTGGCCTCCGGAGACACTCGGATGCTTCGGCAATAAATAAATAAATCATGACAAATGATAAAGTCAATCACCAGCATTGAAGATTGAAAAAAAAAATTTCCTTCATGTTCTGCGACCTCTTTTCTGCCAAGAAGGAATGAGGATCATAGCAAGTCATAAATAATTACTGAATGCCAGGTAATAAATTCTTCCCGCTACCAGATAATAATAATAATAATAATAATAATAAAAAAATTGAATATATCACTTTCTCCCAGGTATCAGGAGCTCTTCAGCCTAATAATAATAATAATAATAAATTAAATATTAAACTGGAAACTTTCCTACAGGTACCAGGGACCTATTCAGCCCAATAATAATAGCAAGAATAATAATAATAAATCGGATGTAAAATTTTTCTGTTTTAGGTAAAACATAAAAGTGGCCCTGGTGGTCACTCTATAGGAACACAACAGTGGTGACGAGGACCCACGCTGTTGCTGCGGTCACACTGGAGGCCCTGGGGCAGCAGGAAGTCATCTCCAAGCCCCTGGCCCACGTTTCCGCCCTGGGTATGCTACCCTCACTGGCCTAGTGGCGAGCAGCTCAGGGGTCTCCCTTCTCTGGAAGTCCACCTGCTTGTCCTGCTGAGTGCTTCTCCCGACCCCCCAGCGCGGCACAGGCAGGGCTCTGGGGTCTTGCAAAGGAACCTGGTCCCCAGCCCCACCCTGGGCGGGTGGCCCCTCACTGCAGTCTCCGCCTGCGTCTCCATGAGGCTTCTCCTCTGGGTCTGTGTCCCCTCCTCTGTCCCTTGGGAGGACCTGGCCTTGGGTTGGAGGTGGGCCCTCTGCAGCCTGCCCGGGCCGTGGGGGACATGGCCTGGCTTGGCTCTGAGCCCTGCGTCGTGGGTTCCGCGGTCCGCTTGGTGGTTTTGGCTTCAGCTCAGCGCTGACAGCTTGCGAGTGTCCCCAGCCTGCGTGTCTCTCTCTCTCTCTCTTTTAACTTATTTTTTAATTTATTTTTAAACCGGGACTGAGCCCAGGGCCACTGAACCACGGAGCCAGCTGCATCCCCAGCCGTTTGCATATTTCATTTAGAGGACGGTGGTGGCGGTGGCGGCGGTGGCGGCGTTGCTAAGTGGCTCCCAGCCTCGCTTTGGCTGAGGCCGGCTGGGAATTCACCATCCTCCTGCCTGGGCCTCCTGAGCTGCTGGGATGACAGGCGTGGGCCACCGCTGTGCCTGGCTTAGGGGTCCCCGGTCTCAAGAAAACCGAGCTGTGTGGGAGGTCCTTGCGCACAGAGGGGACCCTGGGTGGCGGCTCCAAGGACCTGGGGATGTGGCTGTGTCGCGGATCATCCCATCTTCTGCTCCAAGAGCTCCCAGGTGCATGGGTGTCCCCAAGCTCAGATGCACTTAGGCTGCTCCGGAGCCTGCGACGTTCACCAAGGGCCTCCAGTTCCTTTGGAAGCATCAAAAGTTGGGGGTCCAGCGCTTCTTGGCCAAACCCAGGACCCTGGTAGCCAAAGCCACATCCCGGTGTCCGCTTCTGGGCTTCCCAGCAATGACCTCTGTTGACCTTGGGGGCTGGTTGCTGCTCCCCGCGGGCCCTGAAGGGTGTGGGTCTCCACGCGTCGCGTCGTGCGCCGCATGGTGCACCCTCTGGGTCTTTGGCCCAAGGCCGATGGGCTACAGGGGCGTCTGCAGTGACCCGAGCAGCGCCCCCTAGCGTCGGGCTCCCAGCTCTGCAAGAGAGCGAGGCGCACGCACGCGCGTGCGCGGTGCCTTTGATGGACGGCTGTGCTGCTCCGCGCATGCCCGCTGGGCCCTGCCCTGCGCCTGGCTGTGTCTCCCGGAGCGCACGGGGGGCC